TGTCATACACTCTAAAAAATGCTGGGTTAAATACAACCCAGTGCTGGGTAAAATAGGGACAAACCCAGCAATTGGGTTGTTTTGACCCAGCGGTTTTGTTAAATGTTTAACCCAACCTTCTGGGTAGTAACCCAACCGCTGGGTCAAAACAATCCAATTGCTGGGTTTGTCCCTAATTTACCCAGCACTGGGTTGTATTTAACCCAGCATTTTTTAGAGTGTAAATCTGAACTATCCTAAAATGGCTGTTGCCAGCAATCTATCTCGGAATATAAACATTTTAGAAACATTTGACGATAATCATAAAACAAAGACATTATAAGACTTCAAGAGACTAATAGCTATAAGGTGTATAGACTAATTTTATGATATTTCTGTAATTGCTTTTTAGAGCAGTCATTATAAGTTATCATTGAATGGATCTATATGAAGATGAAAATGACAGCATACAGGTTTGTAATTACAATAGAGTGATTAAATAATGACAGAATTTTAATTTTTGGGCAAACTATTCTTTTGTTTGTTTTTATAGCTACGGTAGATATCTTGCACTCAGTATTCAATTCTTTAAAAAGTAAATAAAAAAAAAATAAAAAATCTCTTTTTTTAGTTGGCATAATTCTGTAATTAAGGCATCTAACAGCAGGAGCTAACGGTTGAAGCTAACAAGCTAAACACTGACCATGTAAAATGCTGCTAGCAATTTTGTTTTTAGTCAGTAGCTAAAACAAGATGGCATAAATTTGCAACTCACTCACTCACAGCTTGAAAACCTCTATATCCTTCTGAATGAAAGAATACAGCACAGCTAAAGATGAAGGAGACATATGAAAAATATGAAGTAACAGACAGATGATGAAGCTGTTTGATGTAGGAATATGATATGAAAAACTTGATGTTTAGAAGATGCAAAACTCACACATCTGACACCTTACAATTCTGTCACCTCGGGGAGATAAACATATTCATTTTGTGCTGAGAAAAGCTAGACTCTAGTTTTTCTTTTTTCATAAAGGCTCCCGGCCACAGTCTTCCGCATACTTACCCTGCATTTCCACTCCAAAGATGGATTTCTGCACTGAAGAGACGCAGAAAACAATGCTTCAAGCTGGATTTTGGATATTATTCAATACTTCATGAAATGTTCTGGGTGGCTGTTGGATATATTGATGGATATGTTGGACTGTTATTGTCAAGTTAGAGTAGTAGTTCCTAGCTTCAAACTGAACAAATATAAAAACTTGTGATGACAATGTCAGATGAACAAACTCAAGACAGCTTGTCATGAACATGCAACATTTATGATTAATTAAAAACCACCCAAATAAAAAAAGTCCAACAAATGAAGAAGTATAGCCTATGTTTAATAAGTCTATCTTCTAGTCTATGCACCTCATTTACATCCCTTTTCAGCAATAAGCTGATGTCATCAGTGTGTAGGCATAATGCAAATGGGGTTCTGTGTAGTAGAACATCTAAATTGTTCTAAGTGGAACTATCTTGTATTGGTGATCTGTTTTAAAACAGAACTTGGTCTATTTCAGTTATAATACGCGTTGTTATTGTTTTGGTGAATGTCTGTTTCTCAGATTATAAAAAGTGTGGCCCACTAAGAAAACGAAATGCTCCCTCCCCCCACCAAATTCTTTATGTTGTGAAGGAGGCCGGCTTCATGTGTTTGCCTGGGGGTCCTCAGCGCCAGCCTTACACCAAGTGCGCGCTAGCGCCTCATCCCAGGGTGTGCACAAGTAATCTGGGTGCCAGTAACCAGATGCTGCTTTGTTCGCAGCACAACTGAAGCAGCAGACACATCAAGTCTTTCGCTGGAATTGCATTTAGCGTAAGCAACCCGCTATCACTCGCTGAATGAAGCTTCAAGAAGAAACTTTACTCGACCTTTGGTATTGAACTTACCTTTTCGTCCTGCAGTTACAGACGCACTGAGCTCGAGAAAGAATTCAGTTAAGGCGCGAATCTTTAGAACGTGTGACGTCACTGAGACTGGCTGTGTGATTTGACCGTTTAGGTGCGCAGAAGACAAAGGCTACTATGCTTGTCCATGTTCTGCTTGGAGTGCGTGCACAGAAAGCATCCTGTCAGCAGTGGATTCAGTTCTCTTTCACAGCTTATTGCACTTTTATTCATACTTTTTAATATCAAGCACATTCCGCTCTTTACTTTTTTCATTCATCCATGTTTCTTTGTTAATATTTTCAAACTGTCCCACCCACTGAAAGCTGTGCGGATTATCACACTTAAATACAACACAGTTATAGGACATAAAAGGTCTGTGCGGTAAAAGCGAAAGTACGAGGTGAAATGTTTCGAAATGTTTGCACAGCAGAGCACCAGTTTCAACAAAAGGATATATTTCAGTCCAGCCACTTTTTTTATACTTTTACATTGTCTATTCTGTTCTGAAAATCTTTCTTTTCATCATTACCACAAACAAACTGCTTGAATCTGAGCGCAGGAGCTCTAGGTTACCATACACTCTAAAAAATGCTTAAAAATGTAATTAAAAAATTTAACCCAACAGCTGGGTTAGTCCATATTTGACCCTAAGTTGGGTTGAAACAACCCAGCATTTTTTTAGAGTGTAAGCTTAGTGGTTTGCAGTTGATTGCTGTCACCAACAGCACTGTGCACTTGGCTAGCGCACAACGGTAAATTATATTATTGTTCTAAACTTTTGTAGGCTGTACAGAATGTAGCCCAGATGGTGGATCAGCACCTAGAGAGGACCTCTACAGCCCTAAATGTCAGCGGAGATCAGGACAACTAGATGAGCTCCAGAGACAGATCCCCAGTGAGGACCTTGTCTCCTAGACGGCCACCGGGACAAGACCACAGGAACCAGTTGAGTCCTCTGCACAATGTGACATTGCTGCAGTCTGGAACTGAACTGCTGGTTTCGTCTGG